GCCCCCGCACGTAGTCCCGGGCTCTGCCCCCGCACGTAGTCCCGGGCTCTGCCCCCGCACGTGGTCCCGGGCTCTGCCCCCGCACGTGGTCCCGGGCTCTGCCCCCGCACGTGGTCCCGGGCTCTGCCCCCGCACGTGGTCCCGGGCTCTGCCCCCGCACGTAGTCCCGGGCTCTGCCCCCGCACGTAGTCCCGGGCTCTGCCCCCGCACGTAGTCCCGGGCTCTGCCCCCGCACGTGGTCCCGGGCTCTGCCCCCGCACGTGGTCCCGGGCTCTGCCCCCGCACGTAGTCCATTTCCTCTCACCATATTTGTGTGTAACAGACTAATCCTTCCTCCAGTGATCCTTGTTTGTCTCCTGACAGGCGGGTGTTGCGGGAGCCGTATATCGATCCCGACAGACTCAGCATATTCGGGAAGGTAATAATAGTCATGTGACTTCCTCTGGAACACCGCGTGTGAACTTCTCCAATTCTCTTCTGCCTGTGGTCTTGCAGAGGGCATGGTCTCGCAGTGGGTGTGGTCACACAGTGGGTGTGGTCACGCAGTGGGTGTGGTCACACAGTGGGTGTGGTCACGCAGTGGGTGTGGTCTCGAAGTGGGTGTGGTCTCGCAGTGCGTGTGGTCTCGCAGTGCGTGTGGTCTCGCAGTGGGTGTGGTCTCGCAGTGGGTGTGGCCTCGCAGTGGGTGTGGCCTCGCAGTGGGTGTGGCCTCGCAGTGGGTGTGCTCACGCAGTGGGTGTGGACTCACAGTGCGTGTGGTCTTGCAGTGGGTGTGGTCTTGCAGTGGGTGTGGTCTTGCAGTGGGTGTGCTCACGCAGTGGGTGTGCTCACGCAGTGGGTGTGGTCTCGCAGTGCGTGTGGTCTCGCAGTGGGTGTGGTCTCGCAGTGGGTGTGGCCTTGCAGTGGGTGTGGCCTCGCAGTGGGTGTGGCCTCTCAGTGGGTGTGCTCACGCAGTGGGTGTGGACTCACAGTGCGTGTGGTCTTGCAGTGGGTGTGGTCTTGCAGTGGGTGTGGTCTTGCAGTGGGTGTGCTCACGCAGTGGGTGTGCTCACGCAGTGGTTCTGTTATGTCGCACAGAGGGGGCGTGTCTGTTATGTCGCACAGAGGGGGCGTGTCTGTTATGTCGCACAGAGGGGGCGTGTCTGTTATGTCGCACAGAGGGGGCGTGTCTGTTATGTCGCACAGAGGGGGCGTGTCTGTTATGTCGCACAGAGGGGGCGTGTCTGTTATGTCGCACAGAGGGGGCGTGTCTGTTATGTCGCACAGAGGGGGCGTGTCTGTTATGTCGCACAGAGGGGGCGTGTCTGTTATGTCGCACAGAGGGGGCGTGTCTGTTATGTCGCACAGAGGGGGCGTGTCTGTTATGTCGCACAGAGGGGGCGTGTCTGTTATGTCGCACAGAGGGGGCGTGTCTGTTATGTCGCACAGAGGGGGCGTGTCTGTTATGTCGCACAGAGGGGGCGTGTCTGTTATGTCGCACAGAGGGGGCGTGTCTGTTATGTCGCACAGAGGGGGCGTGTCTGTTATGTCGCACAGAGGGGGCGTGTCTGTTATGTCGCACAGAGGGGGCGTGTCTGTTATGTCGCACAGAGGGGGCGTGTCTGTTATGTCGCACAGAGGGGGCGTGTCTGTTATGTCGCACAGAGGGGGCGTGTCTGTTATGTCGCACAGAGGGGGCGTGTCTGTTATGTCGCACAGAGGGGGCGTGTCTGTTATGTCGCACAGAGGGGGCGTGTCTGTTATGTCGCACAGAGGGGGCGTGTCTGTTATGTCGCACAGAGGGGGCGTGTCTGTTATGTCGCACAGAGGGGGCGTGTCTGTTATGTCGCACAGAGGGGGCGTGTCTGTTATGTCGCACAGAGGGGGCGTGTCTGTTATGTCGCACAGAGGGGGCGTGTCTGTTATGTCGCACAGAGGGGGCGTGTCTGTTATGTCGCACAGAGGGGGCGTGTCTGTTATGTCGCACAGAGGGGGCGTGTCTGTTATGTCGCACAGAGGGGGCGTGTCTGTTATGTCGCACAGAGGGGGCGTGTCTGTTATGTCGCACAGAGGGGGCGTGTCTGTTATGTCGCACAGAGGGGGCGTGTCTGTTATGTCGCACATAGGGGGCGTGTCCGTTATGTCGCACAGTGGGGGCGTGTCTGCACAACAAGCGGGAACAATTCTGATGGTTTTTCCTCGGCAGGGCTACGGCGGATACATCGCGTCTATGATCCTGAAGGCCAATGATCGCCTCTTCAAATGTGGAGCGCTGATCGCCCCGATCACTGACATGCGATTATATGGTAGGTGGAATATAACGCACATAGAAGAGCGCAATGACTGACTCCTCCCAGAATATTGTGTGATGGACTGCGACTCCGCCCACAA